TAATTAAGTCTCAGTCAAAAGTACAGTAGAGTCATCAAACGGGATGGACCGAGTCCAAACCCCTAGTAGTAACAGACCCCACGCTCATCATACAGAGTGTGTCTCATCTCAACATAGCACCACGTTGTGCAAATCCGGGGTTTCAAACCCTCAGAACATCATTTATAACCATTACTCACCTCGAACTAGCTAACTCTCTAGCTCGCGACGCCTTTGCCTCTCAAATCAGCCTCCACGCGCGTCGAATCTAACCAAAATCAGAGCGAATACATCACAATATGCTAAGGGAACAATACCCAATCGAAAATAATCGAAAAATATCAAGAATCACGAAGTTGGCAAAAACCCGAGCCCCGGGCCCCACAAATCCCAAATTTAGAATTTCAATTTCAAGCCCTAATTTCTTACAATTTGGCTATATTTTCATGAATTTCGAAGATGATTTCACAATATAATCATGTATTTAGTCCATAGGACTTACCTCCAATCACTTCCCGTCAAAACCCCTTCAATTCCCGTTCAAAAGCTCTCAAGGTTGCTCAAAAATGGAGGAAAAATGGGTTGGGTTCGCGGATGAAATATTTTAACATTCTGCCCAGATCACTGTAGCTCCTTCTATGCGATCGCATTAGAGCCCATGCGATCGCATAGCACAAATATTCTGCCCCCCAGATTTACCCCTATGCGATCACATAGGCCTCTCTGCGATCGCATTGCACAAGGTCTTTACCCTGTGCGATCGCATGCCTTCCACCGCGATCGCATAGCACAACCAAACAGCCCCTCGAATTCCTTCTATGCGATCGCATGACACCCTCTGCGATCGCATAGAACAAAAATNCTTCCACCGCGATCGCATAGCACAACCAAACAGCCCCTCGAATTCCTTCTATGTGATCGCATGACACCCTCTGCGATCGCATAGAACAGAAATACTCTGCAATTTTTCTGCTGCATTTTACAACTCCAAACTTCCCGTTAACCATCCGAAATCGCCCCGATGCCCCCGGGACCTCAACCAAACGCACCATCATATCTTAAAACATCATCCAAACTTGCTCCAATCATCAAAACACCTCGACTAACACTAAAATCATCGAATTACACCGAATTCAAGCCTAAGTTCTTTTAAAACTTCTAAAACACGCATTTGATCAAAAACCCGACCAAAACACCTCGAATGATCTGAAATTTTGCACACACATCCAAAATCACCTAACGAAGTCACTGCAACTCTCGGAATTCCATTCCGACTCTTGGATCAAAATCTTACCTATCAACCGGAATTCGCCAAAATACTAACTTCGCCAATTCAAGTCTAATTCTACTTCGGACCTCCAAAATCAATTCTGATCAAACTGCTAAGCCACATATCATCCCCCAAAGCTAACCGAATCACCGGAAGTCACATCCGAGCCCTCTAACTCAATAGTCAACACCCGGTTGACTTTTCCAAAACAAGCCTTCCTTAAAGAGACTAAGTGTCTTATTTCCTATCAAAACTAATGCGATTTAACTCTAACACACTGAATACCGAGAACGAAACATAAAGGAGCATAAGATGGGGGAAACGGGGCGGTAACTCACATGACGACGGGTCGGGTCGTCACAATTTGGAGAATATAAGAGGTTTATTTTAGTATATGTAGATAATATAATGGTATTTAGTAAAATATTAAAGAACATTTAGGACATTTACATACAGTATTTAGATTATTTGTAGATAATGGAATAATAATTAGTAAAAAGAAGATGGAACTATGCAAGAATTATATAAATTTTCTAGGAGTAATCTTAGGGGATGGAAAAATTAAATTACAACCCCATATAGCTAAAAAGGCCCTAGAAATGACAGATAAATTAGATAGTACCAAAGAGCTACAAAAGTTTTTGGGAATAGTAAATTATGCGAGAAACTTTATTAAAGACTTAGGAAAAATAACAGGACCATTATATGCTAAAACAGGAGCTACAGGACAAAAATATTTTAACACATAAGACATTAAATTAGTAAAAAGAATTAAAGAAAAACTAAAAAATATTCCTGATTTAAATATGCCACTAGAAACAGACTACTTGATAATAGAAACAGATGGTAGTTTTGAAGGATAGGGAGCAGTTTTAAAAGCAAAACTAAATAAATATAGTGATAAGAGCACAGAAAAAATATGTGCTTATCAAAGTGATAAATATAAAGAAAAAGGAAATATGAGTAGTATAGATGCAGAGATATTAGCTGTAATTTACGGGTTAAATAGTTTTAGATTATATATTAAATAAACAAGAAGTAACAATTAGAGCTGATTGCGAAGCCATAGTTAAATTTCACCAGAAGATAAATTCAAAGAATAGTAGTAGAAGAAGATGGTTAAATTTTATGGATACAATATCAATATATAATCTGGTTTTTGAACATATTAAAGGAAAAGATAATAATTTAGCAGATCAGTTAAGTAGGCTTAAAATTACTGTCAATTAATAAATAAGTATTTTATATGTACAACATGAGACCAACAGTTTCCAAGACTGAAGACAAAGGGAAGGGCATTGCCTCACCCTCAGACAGATACTTGCAGACAGTATTAGGTAATCTTCATTTTAAGCCATATCCTTTAGGAGAACAGACCAATATGGAAAGAATAAATTTTGGAAAATATAATTTAATATTTTTTCCACCATCAAATATGTCATTTAGAGTCCTACCAGAATGTGTCATAGACAGACCTCAATGATGTTTAATTGATAATTTATGGATAGCATACAATAAGAAAGACACAAAATATTTTATAGCGTCTCTTAATGCCTTAGAACAATATTTTACAGATAAAAACCAAGACAAAGATTTAAGTATTATGTGGTTATACATGGTAAGAAAAATGGTATTTTTCAGACATTGTTAGAAGTACTTGATTCCATTAAAGATATAGAAAAACCACTTTTTAAAGGTTTTAATGATTTTACTGAAGCATTAGATTATGCAAGAGGAATACTAGAACCAAACTACTATATCTCCCCAGCACTCAGACAAAACCCGGAAAAAATCCCTCAATACAATATCAGAAAAGACGATGACAAGATAATATTCTGTGATCATTGTTCATCAATGACAGAAGCCTTTAAAAAAATAAACCAGAAAAATAAAACCCTGGCACAAGAAAAGACAAAACTTATGGAGCAGGTAAAGGTATTGGAGCACAGGGTACAAGCGTTGAGATTTGAATTATCCTAGACTCAAGCTATTTCTCAACAAGATACAGAGATGAATAGTCCAAAACAAAGTTCTCCATCTCAAACAAAAATGGATGAGAAGGGTGTGCTTCCCCAATGAATGCAGCAAAATCCACTGTATCGGATAATGATACAGCTAGTCCGGTTCAAACGGTAGCCGGTAAAGACACATCAAATCCGTTTATGGCTGTCACTTTGCCAAAAAGTGAAGATGAAGGTTCATCGAGAAGAAGACTACCCAGAACATTAACACAGAAAGAAGTGTTAAAAAAGAAGAGTATAATTTCAAAAAATAGAAAATATAATAAAACAGACATTAGAAAACTTTTTTCAAAACAAGGAAGAACAAGACAAACACATGGTTAAGAATCCAAGTCCAAGACCAAGTCCAAATCTAAGTCCAAATCCAGAAAGGACCCAAAGTTCAGGAGAAGATGATAACTATGAAGACAACCTAAATTATCAGGATGCTCAAGATACATATGAAGATGAGTCAGAAATGAGTTTCGATTTAATAGCTATACATAATTTAGACACATAAAAATAAAGTCCCAGTTAAAACAACAATTAAAGAGAACCAAAGACAAAGGAAACAAGGCTGGTATACAGAGCAATAATGACAGCATACGAATGAGAAAAACAAGAAGGAAAAGAAGATGTGACAGAGAAATGCTAGCTGTACTAAAAGACAAAAGTGACGAGTGACATAAAGTAAAGAAGATATGAAAAGAGGTAAAGTTAGTTGTGCTAAAAGACAAGTTAAAATTTTGAGTGTAGGAAAAAGTTACAAACACGGAAGGAATCTCCGACCAAGCCATGTGAAGATGGGGCCCAATGAAGTACCCTGCAAGGCTGGACAAGATAGATTTCGAAAGAGTTTGGAATCCGTTTTTCAAATCCGTTCCAAAATTTAGCTATAAAAAGGAGAAGGAAGCAGAAGGAAAACAAGATCGAAGAGAAAAAACACTCTAAAGAAAACCCATCCAACCAACTCCCCTTTCCATAATCATCCCCCTTTCCAAAACCCTTTGTAAAATATTTCCTTATGAATACTTTAGTAGTTCCTCCTCTAAGCTTGTAAAGTAAATAAGGCCTTATGCTTATGTGTGATCGTTTTTAATTCCCAATGCTCAGTAGACTTTTTCGGGTTTCCCGAAAGGGAAATATCTCTCCTATAAGCATGTAAGTTACTCATCTTTTATCTAAATTATGTTCCTGCTAGATATTACCCCTGTCTATTTTAAAATTTTTGTTATCATGTATAGTTGTATATTTCATGTTCATATGATCGATTATTAGATATCACTCTAAGTATATGGTTAGCTTCCCAATTTCTTAATAATTATGATGGATTAACCTGTAAATTCCTAGGAGAAACTGGTTAAGTAAAACCCGAAAACAATTAAGAAGGGTATAAGTGTTTAACCAGGGCCGGGGTGAGGTTAAAGAAATAAGAGTTAAGAAAAGAGTTAAAATCTTTAAAAGATTGGGAAGAAGAGATGAACAGAGTGGATTAAAAAAAAGAGTAGTAAAGGGGTAATTTCAGCTCATAATTTAGATAATATGGTAACTATACAAGTTTATAGAATAAAAGAGAGAGAGTACCGAGTAGGATTTTCACAATATAAAGTTTCAATCGCAAAAAATAATTTTATTGTTAATGTCCAATAATCGTAATAACTATACAAATCCAGAAAGCTTTGCTAGGAGTCTTACTCAAAGTTTGGAAGAATTTATAATAGACGTAGAAAACGGGTTTTATTCAATAGTAAATTTGGAATAATAATTGCACCATCATAGTCTTTAAGCATGGGTTCACGCACATATATTTAAGTAATTTTAAAAAAATATAACATTGTTATACGTGGTTTAGGGGGAGAAGTATGGGTTCACTTGAACTCATATCTCACAACTTGGATAGGGACAAATAGGACACTCTGATATCATTTTTGATTTTTTGACCCAGCTTGATTTATTGGTGGAAATTCAAATTTAATAAGTATTGCAGTTCACTTTTTCTATGGGTAACACTTTGGACTTTTGACACTAAGATTTTCCCATGGAACAAGCAGAAGTCACAAAATCAAAATTATGGCCATTTTCAAGGTCCTTGGGAGTAATTTCCTGTTTGTTTGTAGGGTATTAGCTGCGACAACACATGTCAGCTGGTGGGTCAGTACTGTTCGTCCTTTGCCCGCTAAAACCGCGGCGGAGCACCACGCTAGTACCAGCAGTCCAGCCTACTCTTTTGTGTGTGAAAGCACCTGAAATACCATGGGTTCTCTCTTAGCTCTTTCTGTTTTGCCTTTGTTGCCTTGTCTACCTAATACCAAAACATCTTCCTTCTTTTTTTCTTTTTTCGAATTATGAAGAATCAGCCATCAATTTTCTTACTGTTATGTTGTTATTTGTGGGGCTAAAAAAGATTTGGACCTGAAGTTCATTCTGAATTTTGCGTTTGGCTGATATGAGCGGTACTTCGTTGTATTTAGTTAAGTGATCATTTTGATTAAAATGTGAAGTCTTTATTCTGTCCTTTATATTATTAATAGTTATAAACGGCTAATAATTTAGAGACGAACAAGTTTTTCGAAGATTTTTTTTTTTCGGTTGAATAGAAAAATAGGAATCAAGTTTTGGGCAAAAAGATTGTTTTGGTGCCAAATAATTGAAAATAAGAAAAGGGGAAAATTAAGACAAGGTCTCTTTTCGTTTGCGTTTCTGGCTTGTTAATTTGGAAATTGAACTAGATTGTGCTATCGGCTAGTCGATTCATTTATCAAGTATTTTGCTTTTAAAAGAAAGAATTGTCTTTCTGATGAACTATTTTAACTAATATGTTAATATTCTCACACTTTACTTGACTTAAAAGCTGGAGTTCGAATTACTACACGACAGATGGAAATGACTTCAACCACTCGTGATTCACCATATAAAAACTTTTGTACACCCTTCATTCTTTTGGTTCTAAGCCGGTGTCTGGTACCTGCTTGGGACCCGATTAATTTGGGGGTAAATTGTTTGCTACCAAAGACGACTCTAAACCCAAGATTCGAAACTGAAATCTCTGGTTAAGGGTAAAGGAGTATTTATCACTCTAAATTATAAATGCTGCTTTTATATATATATCATAATTTCTACATAATTATACTTGGTTGAAATAAAACTTTTAATTTTGACCAAAAAAAAAGAAAGAAGAAAGAATCTTATCGAAAGAAAGAGTAGTTGGATTGTTCATTACCAATGGAGTGAAATATACGTAGATGCATTATTCAGGTGGATGTAAAAGGGCTCAATCAGAGCATAGTTGTAGACGATTGGATCTAAATGGTGAAAGGCAACAAGAACTAATTGGGCTTGGAAGCAAATATATCGGATTTAAGGTGAAAAATTGTTAATGGGCTCATATTGTACACTAATTTGTGTGTGTGTGTGTGTGTTTTTTTTTTTTTTGGGTTGCTGAATAGTTGCTTCGGGTTGGGAAAAAAATTGTTGCTTCTGCTGATTGTTTTGTTTTGTTTTTGAAACCCACTAAATCACGGGATAAAAACATGGTTTGGGATCATATAAGACTAGATTTTTAAGATTGTGATAATCATTAATCATGCCTCATTAGTATCTGAAATAAGACTCTCAGTTGATTACAAGGATAAGTGCTAACAATTTCATAATAAAATATAAAAATTTATTTCGCTTTTGGTTGAATTCTTTATTCATATATAAATAATTTCAAGAATATCAGCTTCCTGTGATCTGCCAAGTCCAAAATCACCAATCTTGATCTTATAATTCTCTGTGTCTATGAAGATGCTACTTGGTTTCAGATTCTATAATACATGAATACATGTCATAACACTCGTACACTGCAAGGACGTTTCAACATTTTGTACATCAAGCTTCCTCGATGGATCAAGAGGGAGGCTAGTAAAATCTTTACTTTAGGTCCCAAAATTTTAAGGCCCAAATATTATTAATAGTGAGATACACAATAATACTTTCTCTTAGACAATATTAAGATTTTGTGGAATAAAAAGAAGAGAAATTTTCATAAAGCACTATCTTTTAGTGGTAATTAGCTATTTATAGATACCATTTGCTATATTACGGATTGTAGATACGTTTTCTGTGGTTATAAGATGTATTAGATGTATTTAAGCTACTATATTCATGAATACTAGCAAAAATAGGCGTGAATCAGAGAAGTCCAGCTAATCAGTTGTTGTATTCGGGTGTATTCGACTGTATTCATGGCGCGAACCATCGGATTACAGCTGGATAAATTATTGTATTCGACTGTATTTACGGCGTGAAACAGGGAATTACACTGTTTTTAAACAAAAAGTGAATCAATTAACATAATAGACTCCTAATATAACTCAACAAACTCAATTATAACACACAAATTTTGTATTTCCAGTTATAAAAAAGATTCTCAACCAAAAAATACCCCCAAAAATATAGCAATCTTCAGAGAAATTATATAATACATCTGAATACATAAATTATATTAATTAAAAAAAATATATGAATACATTCATGGCATATAGCGAGATAATGAATACAATGAAATACATAGAATACAGCGGGATACATTGAAATACAATGAAATACATGGAATACAGCGAGATGGATTGAATTACAATGAAAAAAAGACAATGAAATACATGAAAATACAACGTGATACGTTGAAAATACATTGAAATATATTAATAGAAAATCAAGTTGCTCAGCCCCAAACTCCGTCGTCTTTGTTCAAGAACAAACCCTAATTTCCGTGTAACGACCCGCCCGGTCGTTTTGAACTTTTGCACTTTGATCGTCAGTTCTCGGGCATGACTTGCCCCGTGTAACGTATTATGACTGATGTAGATCGTTGGTTTTGGTTTTAAAAAAAATCGGAATGAATTTGAAGGAACAATCTCAATTGAAAGCATTGAATTTGAAAGGTTTGACTAAGAGTTGACTTATTTGTATATGAGCTCGGATTGGAAATTTTATGATTTGGATAGCTTCGTTGGGTGATTTATGACTTAGGAGCGTGATCGAAATGCATTTTGTAAGTCCGTGGAAGGATTTGGCTTGAATTGACAAAGTTAATATTTTGGCGAATTCCGGTTGATAGGTGAGATTTTGATCCGAGGGTCGGAATAGAATTCCGAGAGTTGTTGTAGCTTCGTTATGTCATTTTTGATGTGTGTGCAAAATTTCAGGTCATTTGGACTTCGTTTGGTCGACTTTTTGATCGAATTCGGATTTCGGAAGTTTGGAATTCTTAGGCTTGAATCCGAGGGTGATTTAATGTTTTGATATTGTTTTGAGCGTTCCAAAGGTTGGAACAAGTTTGAATTATATTATGGGGTGTGTTGTCATGTTTGGTCAGGGTCCCATGAGTCTCGGATAAGTTTTGGAAGAGTTTTTGGAAGATTTTGTTGTTTTGAGCATAAGCATGTAATGATCCAAAGATCCATTTTTAGTTCTAGAGATCGAAATTTGATTTTGAGACTTCTGAAATTTTTATAATGAATTATAGGACTAATCTGGAAAGTTTGGTCTAATTTCATCAAGTCGCGATTGGGTTTTTGACAAGAAACATGAGTTAATTGTTTAACGAGCTAAATGAGTATTGAACTGAGAAAACGAGCTCCGAATTGGGTTTCGACTAAAGGGCTATGTTCGTATTATTATTTGTGACTCATAGGAACAAGAATCATCGCATTCCGAGTTCGTATGATGGAGTTAGAGCCTTTTTAGTGAAAAGAAAAGTTGCTGCAATTTTCTGGGCAGTTTCTGCATTTTTCGCACGTGTGAACAGTGACCGCACCTGCGTGAACAGTACCGTGTACCGTACCCCATGAATAGTACCGTGTACAGTACCCCGTGAACAGTACCGGACAGAATGTTAAGTTCTGGAAAATGGGACGAATCCCATTTTCCATTTTTACCAAATTGGAGCTCGGGGAGAGGCGATTTTCGGGAGATTTTCAGAGAAAANTCTTGAAAACCCTCTTGGTTTAATTTGAAGATTTGAGGGTCGAGTTGATGTCGGATTTTAGTAAAATTGGTATGGTTGGATGAGGTTTCATATTCTGTAATTTTTGTCGGGTTTCGAGATATGGGCCCCACGGGCGAATTTTGAGTGCAATTTCGGATTTTTAATGAAAAACATAGAATTTCATATGGAATTATTTCCTATAATTTTTATTAACGGAATCGAATTATTGTGGCTAGATTCGAGACATTCGGAGGTCGATTTGAGAGACAAAGGCATTGTGAGCTAGAGGATTAGCCGGTTCGAGGTAAGTAAAGATTGTAAATACTGTCCTGAGGGTTTGAAACCCCGGATTATACGTCGTTGTGTTACTTTTAGGTGACTTGCACGCTGGATGACGAGCATGGGGTAGAGAACCGCTGAGGATTATGACCTAGTCCATCCCGAACGAATATTTTAATGCGTATTTGATAGTTAATTGTTTGACATTATTATATTTTTGGGCTGTATGCCATGTTTGGGACCTTGTGCCGACTTGTTGAGACCCTTAGAGGCATTTTTACTATCTTTCCTCACTCTATTTGGTTGAAAGCATATTCTCAGTCATGTTTTACCTGTTTTTTGCTCAAATCTGGCTTTATCACTATATTCTTTACACGTGGAAATTGTTTTAGCCTGAGTTCCATGTTTTACTGAGATAGACCGAGGGTCTGATTGTGAAATTGATGACTGAGATAGACTGAGAGTCTGATGGTGAGGTTAATAACTGAGAGAGGCCGAGGGCCTAGTTGTGAGGATTATATATCTATGGATCGGGTTGCACGCCGCAGCAATGTATATATATATATATATATGGATCGGGCTGCACGCCGCAACGATACTTATATGGATCGGGCTGCGCGCCGCAGCAATATAGCGCTTGGGTTGTAGGAGCCCCTCTGGAGTCTGCACACCCCTAGTGAGCACAATTGACTATTTATATGGATCGGGTTGTGCGACATAGCGATGCATGGATCGGGTTGCACGCCGTAGCGGTTACTTTGATTTCAGTTATTGTGAGAGATATACGGATCGGGCTGCACGCCGCAGCGGTTACTATATGGTACCAATTGAGCGTGAATGCTGAGTGCGAGTATTGATTGTTAAGAGTTGAGTCACGAGTGACAGAGAGGCTATACCGAGGGGCGATAGATATATACATGCATATGAGTGGTGTTTTTCCTAAGAGGCCTGTTTATGGACTTATTGATTTCACTCCTCTTAAAATGAGTTCTATCGAATATGTTGATTTATTGACTGTTTTCACTCATCTTTATATTGAGCCTTTGTCGGAAAGTTGCACAAATGTTTTAAAACAACTTTTATTTAAACTAGGGTTTATGAGATGTTCAGAAATTAATCACTGATTTGACATTGGTTATTTCCACTGAGATTTTCAAGTTATGAAGTGTTTGTGATTATTGTTTTAAC